CCCTTTAGTAGCAGCAATCATAACCACACTCCTTTTAGGGTTAAACAGGATGTCAAATTGCTCACCATACTTAGCACATGCCCTGAGCAGCTGCTGCAGGCCTGCGCTATAGGGAGACATGAGGACTAGGTCATCTGCATATATTAAATGATTTACCAGTCGGTCACCCACCAAGCATCCAGTCTTACTAGCATTCAGAGTAACAGACAACTCGTCAAGGTACAGGTTAAAAAGGACAGGTGACAGAATCCCGCCTTGTCTGACTCCATTTGATACGGAGAAAGGTTCAGACACTTCTGTCCCCCACTTTACCTGCATCAGTTGATGAGAGTACCAGAAGTGCAAAATCCTAACTAGGTAAGAAGGGACCCCTCTGTTTTGTAGCTTGATGAATAATTTCTGATGATTGACTCTGTCAAAGGCCTTAGAGGCATCTAAAAAACACATAAAAACAGAAGTATTATGCCTCATGTATTTGCTTACAGTTTCTTTTAAAGCATAGATACACAAGTCAGTACTAAGTTTACCTTTAAAACCAAACTGATTCTCTGTCATAGTTATAAAATTTTGCAGTCTTTCCAGCAAAATATGCTCAAACACCTTGGACAACACACTAGCCATAGCAATAGGCCTGTAGTTATCAATACAGGAGATTTTTCCAGTTTTCTCTTTGACTATAGGGACTAAGAGAACAGATAACATATGGTCAGGCAAGATTCCATGCTTCAAAAAGCCGGTAAAGCACAATGAAAGTAACACCTGAGCTCTACAGCTAGCATACTTCATGTGCTCTGCTGATAGTTGATCCGGGCCGCAAGCTTTGTTTAAAGACATTTTCTCTATAGCGAGACGGACTTCATCAGCTCTGACAATCATACCATGATTGTAGTTAATGTTGCCAAGATTGAACCTTTCACTATTTACACAGTTAAAAATTCTGCTAAAGTGATTCCTCCAGGCTTCAACAATGTTCTTGTCTCCTGATACCCCATTTATAGATGCAGGTAGCAGCTGCTTACTGATACAGGAGCGTTTTAACTCCTTCCAGAACTCTGAAACATCATTATTCTTTAGTTTGTTCGCTAAGGAGTTTGCCCGCATTGTTTGCTCATTTCTTTTAATATAGCGAACAGCATTCTTGAACTTAACGTTCGCGGCTTTCTTAGACTCCAATATTGAACCTGATTTTGGTTTACCAGCAGCTGCCCAGACTTTATAGGCTGCTCTGGACTCAGCATGTAACGCATAAGCATGCTCACTCCATCCTGGAAGCGGTTTAAATTTTGTTGCTCCTTTTTGGCAGAGGAACTCGCTGGCAATAATCAAGCTGTCCACAATATTTTGATACAAAGTGCATAAGTGCAGCCTGTGCTCCATATGTTCACAGTTAACATCTCTACACTGTAACGTTTCTTTGTGGACACTAACAGATCTCAGACTACAATCTGACAGTAAGTAATATTTCCTAATATCCTCGACTGACACTTTAGCCCAAGTAAGCTTTTCTGTGTGTGAGGGGCTCTGGTGTTGGAGCAGCACAGGCAAAGATTCACAGTTTACCACTAAGGAAACAGGGATGTGATCAGTTGTTGCCAGGGAGTATAAGATTTCCACCCTGGATATGCATTCATGTGCATCCTCAGTGCATATACAGTGATCAAGCCAGGACGTTGAGTGCCATGCCTCACTGACATACGTGTGGCTGTCTGCTGGCAGTCTCTCTTTGCTAGTTAAAACCAAGTTATTATTTACACAAAACTGAATCAGATGTTGCCCAAAGGTGGAGCGAGTGTCTGAAATATCAGCATTCATATCACCAACAATAAAAACACAATTAAACTCACACTGACTGATAAATGAGCTTAAAAAACCAAGTTTCGCCAGATATTCATCTTCATTCTGCTGACTCTCATATGGCATATAAATATTTAAGATCATGAATACCTTCTCATCCATAACAATCTTTACTGCTATGCACCAGTCCACATTTAGCCTGACAACAGAAATAAAAGGATCATAATCCTTGTGCCATAGGATGGCCACGCCTCCAGGTATCCTTCCTTGAATAATTCCAGATGACAGATCAGTAGTGGACTCCCCAGCACCAAAAAAATTGCAGTGAAAGGAGTTTAACCGATCCAGGTTCTGTTTGGGCAGCATTGTCTCTTGCAGACATAAAATGTCAACATCTTCCAAAAGTTTATCGACAACAATACGACGTGCCCTATCCCCAGCCCCTTGTAATCCTCTGCTCTATCTGCACTCTGGGGCCACATGTGGCCCATCAGCACCCCGGATGTGCCCCTCTGTGACTTTGACCGTAAATGAAATGAAGCAGAGTCGTGTTGGTTTTAGATGACTGGGGGAAAGACGTTTTATTGGTTTTTCCAGCTGAATTTCCACACAAGACCTAGCCTGGTGAACTAGACCAAATTCTTGCTTTGCAAAGTTTGGTCGAGGCACGCTCCATTGGAACCTCAGCAGCTCCTACCAGGACTCTGGCTAGCCAATCACAGCTCTCTAGAGGGGTTTCAAACACATAAAGAGCTGTGATTGGTCCATAATGGTGGGCCAATCATAGTGCTCTATCTGCTTAGTGAACAAATCACAGAGCTTTATCCGCTTTGTGGGCCAATTAGGGAACTCTATATGCCTGGTGGGTGGGATGATGCAACAGAGTGAAACAAGAGTATGTCACATTCATTGTCCAGTGGAATGCGGAGATCATTTGAAAGACAACGGTAGAACCCGCCCCACAACCGAGAGCCGTCAATGGAGCGTGGCCAGACTAAATAAATGTATTATAGTAATATTAGCTTGCCAGGCTACAGAAGACCAGTAATACTAGTTACCTGGGTTAGCCCGTGTCTCTTTTATGAATTGAGACAAAACTTCACATCAGATTAGTTCCAATATAACTAAAAATGGCTGACAGTGTAGCATTAAGTCAATGTAATAAAATGTAATGGTCACTTTGGTCTGAAATATCCTGACCTTATGCCACGCTCAACTCATTCTTCCTGTAGTTGCATGACGGTGGAAACACCTACAACAGGGTTCCCTTCCCCAAGGGTCGGTTTCCAGCACGTTTTAGTTGTTTCCCTGCTCCAACACACTTGATTCACTTGTTCAGCAGCTCATTTGGCTCTGCTAAAGTCTATTAAGACACCTGCTGAATGAAATCAGGTGTGTTGAAGCAGGGAAACAAAACATGCTGAATAGCATGTTTTAGTTGTTTTAGCCCTCAGGGAAGGAGTCTTCTACCCCAGTCTACAAGAACCAAATGTCCATCTTCTAGAAGCTGGACTCAGGACTGAGGAGACTCAGCTCTTTAAATAAGGCGGTTTGTTCTGAATAAAGGAAAGTTGTAACTGTTTCCCATCTCTACAAGTTAGGAGGCTGATGAAAATGTCTCACCGAGATAAAAAAAAAAGATCCAACCTTATTTTAATTCACTTCATTTTTAACCATAAACTAGCAGTAAAACACATAAAACGTAAATCCCTCCTCCAATTGGAACGCTTAAATTGTTCGTTGGACGCGCATGCGCACTGTAGTTTTACGGTCCCCGCGGGAGGGGGGGGGGTTAGGCTAAAACAGCCCACCCGCAAAGATCTGCATGTTCCGTCGCGGGAACGCGCATAAACAGAGTTCAAAGGTAGACATGGAAGATGTTTACAGATGTTTATTTACGGGAATTAGATGCAGCCGTTACTTAGTTCAGATACATTTAGAATAATTTGATGATGAAAATGTTTAACGTATGCATCTTTGTTTTAGCGACATGGATTATCTTCTCTGTAAATAATAATCTGCAATAATCCGAGTAACCAGACGAAGAAAATATTATTTCTATAGCGCCTCTCAAGAAAAAAATCACGAGGCGCTTCACAAAAACAAAAAATGTAAAAATATTTTTAAAAAATCGAAAATTATTAAAAATATATTTAAAATGAGCAAAAATAGGCAATTGTGATAAAAAATGAAAGAAAGAGAGAGAGTGAATAAGAAAGAAGTGAGTGGATCCTGAGGGAGGTGGATAGGTGGGGAGAGCAGAACACGCATCATCTGTTTTAAGCTGATGTTTATACATGACACGTGCTGATGAAGTCCAACTCACTAGTTATGACGTAGAAAGCACGATTTCACCCTTATTTACCACGAACAAGAGGTTTGCGTTTATTTCTATTCGTTTCTTTGGAGTGCGCGTTCCCGCGAGAAGGTACGAGAATCTCGACAAGCACGCACTTCTCAGCACAACACCGATGAACAACAGAGAAATTCAACTGCGTGGTCTGGAGCAGACAGGCGGAGGCGGCGGGATCTGCGCATTTGAAGGATTACGCTGCACATTTTTTACCCAACCAGCCTGCTAACGAGAGACTGGGAAACAGGTAGGCACGCCGAGTCATCTTCAGACCGCGCTTTTATGTGTTTGCTGCGCCATGAGCGGGCCTGCCTGGCGGCTGCATCATCTTCATCCACGGTTTGATGCCGCATGTCGGCTTTCAGAGTTCAAAACAAACGCGACCAAGTGGGTAATAACAGGCTCCCCGGGAGCGTGTCTCTGCTCGGTCTTCGCTGACTCGTGTGTTTCTAGAATTCCGGCTGCGGGTCTTTTTACCGGGTGACTCTGCGTGTTTGTTGCGTTTCTCTGCTGAACAACTTTGCCGCGCTCCGTTTCCACGCCGCTCGTTCACGGTAGGAAAAGTACGGAGGTTAGGCCCAGCGCGAGGCCAGAGCTTCCCTGTGAGTGACGGCTTCATGCGTCCAATCAGGCATGAGGTCACGCCTACTTTTTTGTCGGACTCGGCCAATCACATGTGTGTAAAGCACTGACGTAGGGCTCAGCTTCTCGCGCTACACCCTACAGTTATAAAACACCAGACAATAAAGTGTCAGAGACGAAAGTGATAAACAACCGATCGGCTGGAAATCTTTTAGGATACGGTTTCATTTTGTGTTTCCGGTTAAAATCACACTCGCGTGCGTTCATGTTTTGAACCTACTAACAAAAACAGCCCGTATGCGGCTCGTAACCCCGATTTCTTTTTAACATTCGGTTGAAAATGCAATAATCTGTACTAAAAACGTGCATATGACCTCCTTTCTTCAACGTGAACATTGATTTTGACATAATTAACGCTGGTTGCTCCTCCTCGTCTGGGCTGTCATGTTCGGCTTCCTGACCGCCATTAAAAGTCCTTAGATTAAGGTAAAAATCCTGTATTTGATGGAGTGGAATTGTGTCCAGATATAATGGTGGTTTTATTCTAGCTGCAACAGGCGGGAGATGATAAGCCTTTTGTCTCCTATTGTGTCTGCGTGAAACGGACTAAGCAGAAAAACACGTGGGCTGAGCGGCGCGTAGACACATCCGGTTTGTAGGCTGCAGTGCGTTGCATTCATACACCTCCATGATGGCGGGCCGAGCCGGGCGGCTCTGAATGTGAGCCCGGCCCCTGTTAGTTGAGTGGACCTGGACCAGTTAGATGAGTGACCCTGGTTAGGTGAGTGGACCTAGCTGGACTCGGTTAGGTGAGTGGATCAGGTTAGGCGAGATAACTCGGTTAGGCGAGTGGACCTGGACCTGATTTGGGAACCTGGTTAGATGAGTGGACCCGGTTAGGTGAGTCGACCTGGACCTGGTTAGGTGAGTGCTCAGAACCGACAGCTTCAGGTGTTTGGTCCTCTGACCTCCAGATGAGGAGGGGCACTGAATCTGCATGTGACGTCATTCCTGTTGCATCTGCTCATCTGAATATTTGACCACCCGGTCTTCTCCACATACTCACCACCATTTCAGAGGCCTGGCTCACCTCGGTACTACACCTGTGTGTGTGTGTGTGTGTGTGTGTGTGTGTGTGTGTGTGTGTGTGTGTGTGTGTGTGTGTGTGTGTGTGTGTGTGTGTGTGTGTGTGTGTGTTTCCAGATAAAATACATCCCCACAGCCTGGCTAGTATTATTGCTGTGCTTGTGTACAGGAAGGCATCTCACGACCTTAGTGTCAAACCCACCTCATGATGAGTGGACTGACCTGAGGGTGTGTGTGTGTGTGTGTTTGTGTGTGTGTGTGTGTGTGTGTGTGTTTCCAGATAAAATACATCCCCACAGCCTGGCTAGTATTATTGCTGTGCTTGTGTACAGGAAGGCATCTCACGACCTTAGTGTCAAACCCACCTCATGATGAGTGGACTGACTTGAGGGTGTGTGTGTGTGTGTGTGTGTGTGTGTGTGTGTTTGTGTGCGCTGTTAGACACACATTACTATGGGGGTTGGGGTTTACCAACGAGCCTCGTTCTTTAATAGTGTGTTAACTGTTGTGTGTGTGTGTGTGTGTGTGTGTGTGTGTGTGTGTGTGTGTGTGTGTGTGTGTGTGTGTGTGTGTGTGTGTGTGTGTGTGTGTGTGTGTGTGTGTGTGTGTGTACAGGAAGGGAGCCTTGATGTGGGCAGTATGACTAAGACGCCCCCTAACAGAAGAGGGATAACATTTGAGGTGGGAGCTCAGCTTGAGGCCAGAGACAGCCTCAAAAACTGGTGAGTCATGGCCTCGTTCATCCCCCTCATTCCTCATTTACATACATTCATCACACGTTTAATGAAGGTCTGAAGAGTTCGGGTTCAGCAGAGCATGGATGATTTATTTGGTTTCATGTAAATCATAAAAGAATGTTTACATTACACACACACACACACACACACACACACACACTACTTCCTTTTGTAAATGCAAGTTCACACATTAGATATTAATCCCACTAATACTGGCGCATCATCCAGTCATCTGAGGGTTGGCGGTTCAATCCCAGCCTTTCCTGTCACTGTGTGTGTGTGTGTGTGTGTGTGTGTGTGTGTGTGTGTGTGTGTGTGTGTGTGTGTGTGTGTGTGTGTGTGTGTGTGTGTGTGTGTGTGTGTGTGTGTGTGTGTGTGTGTGTGTGTGTGTGTGTGTGTGTGTGTGTGTGTGTGTGTGTGTGTGTGTGTGTGTGTGTGAGAGAGAGAGAGAGAGAGAGATGTAGCTCACCACCATCAGAGTGAATGAATAATGGATTCTCTCTAAAGCTCTTTGGCTCCTTTTTTATCATATAAGGTTATTATCGTCTCATTTAGGGCTGGGCCATTTGGACCAGAACCTGTAGCTCCACATCTTTATTCCTGTTAGGTATTTACAAGTGAACTCATTTAAATCTGAATTAACCAGCGGATTAAGTGCATCCTGGTTCTGCTGCCATCCACCATCAGTCTGAGCTGTGGGAACACTGGTGCAGTTGTCACACGTAGCTCTACGGTGCTGCTTACTACTGCTCTTATTTTCTGTCTCGTCCGTCTTCATAAACGAGTAAAGATGTCAACGAAACAAATCGGCTTCTGGGTGTTGTTTCTGAAGATTTGCGTTTCATGTTGTACATAAAGGATGATGGTCTAGAGTTCCTGCTCCCTTCCCAACCATCCATGATGTCATTTCCTCTTCCAGGTACGCTGCTAACATAGAGAAGATTGACTACGACGATGAGAAAGTACTGATCCATTATCGCCAGTGGAGCCATCGCTATGATGAGTGGTTTGACTGGACCAGTCCCTACCTGAGACCCGTAGAGAGGATCCAGCTGAGGAGGCAGGGCCTGAACGGCGACTCTTCACCTGTAAGCTCACATCTCCATCACGCTTTTGCCTGTGCTGCACAGGAAGCAAGGTGTTTGGTTCTGCAGTCCACTTAGCATGGTTCCCACACCTACCTGCTGTCACAGCCAATAACTAGTGATGCACCCATATGAAAGTTTTGGGCCGATTCCGGTATTAAGATCACTGTTGTGGCCGATAACCAATATTTGCCGATACCGATATACTGGCATTAATGCTTCTAAAATCATCAGATTTTTATAGAATGAAAATTATTAAAGCTGAATTTACATTAATATGTACACACACCACACACATTTATAGTTCTGAGATGATTACGATCACGGTCACGTGACTAAACAATCACACATCACCCACCTCACCCTCTGAAACAGGCAAACAAATGGAGACAAGATGGAAAAACTACCGGTTAATATCGGCCCGGTTTTATTTATCGAACCAATGCTGATAAGTTAAAAATGACTAACATCGGCTGATACCGAGATTGATGCCGATATATTGTCCATCCCTACCGATAACAAATATTTATCACATAGACATGCTTACACCACCTGCTTCTGTTAAACACCCCCACATTTAGGGCCGAACGATTGCGATTATTATTATTTTCTTCAATATTGCAATTGAGATTTAATTCACGAATATTTTCTCAAGGGGCTTTTCTCATTTTTCAACTAACAGAAGCAAAAATAATCTATGTACAGTTGTGGTCAGAAGTTTACATACACTTGTAAAAAATATAATATAATGGCTCTACTGAGTGTCCCGTTATTTCTAAAACTCTGATTTTTCTCTGATAGAGTGATTGGAACAGATACTTCTTTGTCACAAAAAACATTCATGAAGTTTGGTTCTTTAATGTCTTTATTATGGGTTAACAGAGAAAAGTGATCACATTTGCTGGGACACAAATATACATACAGCAGTGCTAATATTTGGTTACATGTCCCTTAGCCATTTTCACTTCAATTAGGCGCTTTTGGTAGCCATCCACAAGCTTCTGGTTGAATCTTTGACCACTCCTTGACAGAATTGGTGAAGTTCAGTTAAATTTGATGGCTTTCTGACATGGACTTGTTTCTTCAGCACTGTCCACATGTTTTCAATGGGGTTTAAGTCAGGACTTTGGGAAGGCCATTCTAAAACCCTTATTCTAGCCTGATTTAGCCATTCCTTTACCACTTTTGATGTGTGTTTGGGGTCATTGTCCTGTTGGAACACCCAACTGCGCCCAAGACCCAACCTTCGTGCTGATGATTTTAGGTTATGTTGAAGAATGTGAAGGTAATCCTCCTTCTTCATTATCCCATTTACTCTCTGTAAAGCACCAGTTCCATTGGCAGCAAAACAGCCCCACAGCATAATATTCCCACCACCATGCTTGACTGTAGGCATGGTGTTCTTGGGGTTAAAGGCCTCACCTTTTCTCCTCCAAACATATTGCTGGGCACTGTGGCCAAAAAGCTCGATTTTTGTTTCATCTGACCACAGAACTTTCCTCCAGAAGGTCTTATCTTTGTCCATGTGATCAGCAGCAAACTTCAGTCGAGCCTTAAGGTGCCACTTTTGGAGCAAGGGCTTCCTTCTTGCACGGCAGCCTCTCAGTCCATGGAGATGCAAAACACGTTTGACTGTGGACAATGACACCTGTGTTCCAGCAGCTTCTAATTCTTGGCAGATCTGCTTTTTGGTGATTCTTGGTTCACTCTTTACCCTCCTGACCAATTTTCTCTCAGCAGCAGGTGATAGCTTGCGTTTTCTTCCTGATCTTGGCAGTGATGAAACAGTGCCATGCACCTTATACTTACAAACAATTGTTTGCACTGTTGCTCTTGGGACCTGCAGCTGCTTTGAAATGGCCCCAAGTGACTTTCCTGACTTGTTCAAGTCAATAATTCGCTTTTTCAGATCCATGCTGAGCTCCTTTGACTTTGCCATTGTAGTGTTTGTGGGCGTTTGTATCCAATGAGCCCTATTTACCTGGCCTAAGAGAAGTCACCAGCTGTAGTCACTCATAATCACTCACAAGAAGTTAAGAGGCCATGCTATGAAGCTCAGTTCACTGACACGTTTCTAAGTCACCCAAATTGCTAGTTCATGTTGCTGTATGTATATTTGTGACCCAGCAAATGTGATCACTTTTCTCTGTTAACCCATAATAAAGTCATTAAAGAACCAAACTTCATGAATGTTTTTTTGTGACAAAGAAGTATCTGTTCCAATCACTCTATCAGAGAAAAATCAGAGTTTTAGAAATAACGGGACACTCAGTAGAGCCATTATATTATATTTTTTACAAGTGTATGTAAACTTCTGACCACAACTGTAACTTGTACTGAATATAAACAAGTTTATGTATCTACTTATTTATCTACAGATCATATCAACACGTTTATTCGTCTACATAAACATAAACACTCGCCAGTAAAGACCACATTTTGTATTTGAAGGTGCGATGCTTTGCAGCCAGGAGCACATCCCTTGAAGCAGCATAGTGTCCCGTTTAAGTCTTTTGTGTTTAGAGTTTTTGATGTCTTGTCCACACTGAGCTTCCGTAGTTCAGTTTCGTCCATAGCTGCTAGCCAAACCTCAGTGGAGTTAGCCTCTTACGTTTTCTAGCTTTACTAAAATATCTGTCTGTACTTATTTGATTAATGGCTGTTTTTACTTTTTATTAGACTCCAAATCTAATCATTTGGCACGTTTCTAATTCATAATTTGTAAGAATGTATTAGGCAATATTAGCATTAGTATCCCTAAGGTGTTTTCCTGGTGTATTAGCATTGTGCTAACCACTCGCTGCCAGCCAAATCGCAGTCTTTGCGATTAGAAAATCTCCTTTTGTTACATTGCAGTTGAATTGCATATGCAATTAATTGTTCAGCCCTACCCCCCCCCCCACCCCCCCAAAAAGCCCTCACAAACAGGTAGAGCAGGTTGTCCGGTAATCGGAAGTTTGCAGGTTAGATCCTGGCTCCGACCAGAGAGTGCTGCTGTTGTGTCCTTGGGCAAGACACTTAACCCACCTTGCCTACTGATGGTGTTCGGAGGGACCGGTGGCGTCTGTGCTCGGCAGCCTCGCCTCTGTCAGTGCGCCCCAGGGCAGCTGTTGCTACCTCGTAGCTCATCCCCACCAGCGTGTGGAAGTGTGTGTGAATGGGTGAATGACTGATCGTGTTGGGGGGGGGTGTAGAACCCTAAGAAGGCGCTGTACAAATACAGGCCATTTACCATCAGTTTGGCTTATCAGAGCGAGGTTGATGCTGATCCGTGGTGCATCCCCGTTATGGACTCCTCGCCCCTGAAACGCTGGCGGGTCGTTCCCATGATGCACTAAAGTCACGCTGTTTCCTCCAGGGCTTTCACGTAAATGACAAGGTTCTGGCCAGCTGGTCCGACTGCCGTTTCTACCCCGCTAAAGTCATTTCAGTCAATAAAGATGGTGGGTATCGTGTTAAATATTTAATGGTTTCATGAATCTCACAAAGGAAAGCTTTAGCTGGTGTCTTCTTTGGTGTCCGCTGTAGCGTCCTACACTGTAAAGTTCTACGACGGAGTCATCCAGACAGTGAAGGGAATGCACGTGAAGCCTTTCATCAAAGAGGTACGTGAAAGTCGGCGTTTCCGTCTGTGGTCCTTGTCTCGGCCGATTCTGCTCACTCTGTTCATAACTATGCTGCCCATAGAGACGTGGACGGTCTCGGTCCTCCGACCAGAACGTGGTGAAGAGGACGGCTCCGGCCCGCCGAGACAGACGTCCACATGAGAACGGCGGTCCCAAAAGCAAGAGAGTCAGACGCAGCACTTCAGACCAGGAGGAGGACAGCAACAGTGATGATGAGGAGCAGGAAGAGGAGGAGGAGGAGGACCAGAAAACTAACGGCCTCCTGGAGGCGGAGCATCCTACCAAGCAAGTGGAGGACATGGTGGACCACTCTGAGCAGAACAATCTCACAGACACAGAAAAGATGACAGGACTCCTGAACGGGGTGAAGGCTGAAGAAGACGATGAAGATGATGTAAATGTGGAGACATGTCACGTTAATGGAGACATGAAAAAGGAGGAGATGGGGTTGGAAGAGGGTGGAGCAAAACCAAATGCAGAGCTGCAGACTCAGGTGTTGGTCCAACCGGAGCGAGTGACTGCCTCTCCCATGAAGACGGAGTCCACCGGTGCTGAGCAGAACCCCAGCATCCAATCAGAGAGCGCTCCGCCTGCAGCAGAGACACCCCCACATCCACCCCCACCTGTCAAACGTAAGTGATGGTGAACGTTAGCTGATCTGCAGCATAACCCCTCAAAGGACTAAAGTGAGTCTCTGTGTCTCCCTGACAGCCATCAGGAAGCAGGGCTTCCACAACCCCAACAGATTCAGCAGAGAGCCGCGTGAGTACACGCTGAAGGTGTCGCCCCTCAGCTTGTCTCCACCCTCCTTTAACGGCTGCTCTTTGTTTTAGTGTACCGGGTGATCAAAAACCAGCCTCCTCCAGTCCTGTCCATCAACCTGGACCACAACCCCTTCAAGTGCAGCGCTGCAGGCTGCACCAAGTCATTCCGTAAAGCCAAGCTGCTGCATTACCACATGAAGTACTACCACGGAGAAGACCAGCCCCCAGAGGGACAGCACAGCCCCACCAGGAGCATCCACACCAGGGCCTCTGAGAAGCAGTCCACACCTGCTGGTCTGGAGGCTCCAAAGAGGAGGCGCACCATCTCAGCCTCCATGAGTGAGCTCCTGTCCACCTGTGTAACCATTGGGGGGGGGGGCTTCATCCATTCATTCCTGTCCCTTTTATTGTTCTCAGACTCTGGAGCTGTGGCGTCTCCCCGTGGGGAAGTGAAGACTGCAGGCAGACGCACGTCAGCCCCACCTGCAGTCAGCAGCCAGGGCCCCCAGCAGAGGGCGCTGCTGCGGGAGAAGAGCAAGGAGAACCAGCTGGAGCGGAACACGTGTCTGCTGCAGGACAAGGTCTCAGACAAGCCGGGCTTGGACATGGGTCAGTATAATGCTGCGTGTCTCCATGCTTTTGGCTCCAACACATACCTGTGTGGTGAGATCAGGTGTGTTGATGTGGGCTCTACGTCTGCAGGGTCTGTGAAAGACAAACAGAAAGAGAGGCCCAAGCAGAGGGACTTCCTCCGCATCAAACTGAAGAAGAAGAAGAAGAAAAAGAAGGCCGAGTCAGGTAAGGACCAGGTCCCTGTCTCAGGGCGAGGTCAGCCTGCTGCTCTGCATGCACGCGCGCTCTCTCTCTCTCTCTCTCTGTGAGTGACTGCTCGCTCGCCCTCAGCATAAAGCTCTCCATTCACTCCTGTTGCTATGGTGACTGAGATGTGTGTGGGAGGAGCTTACCGCTGCTTTCTCAGCATCACACTGCCACTGGTCATTTACTATTTTGTGTTAAACATCAGTGTCCTGCTGATAAAAGGCCAGGTGTGGTGGCACTAAGTTTGTGCCAAAAATGTCCGTTTACACCTGTGGTTGGCATGGCAACGGGATGCCTCCCTGTGAGGTTTACAGGCGTGAGCTGTATAGGCGTTTGTGTTCCCTGACTGTTCTTTTCCAGATGTTTGCTGTGCCACATGTTGTCCCTCTGACAGGAGTTATGTTTAACGTCTTGTTCTACGTCTGCTCCCTCCCTCCCCTGTATTAACAGACTACACGGGTAGTGAGGAGAATATTGACATCTCAGTATTGGGGCTTCACTCCAAATTGAATTTGCCACTCAAACCCCCCCCTACACACAATCACAAGCCTGAGGTCTATCCCAGCAGACCCGGATACAGCTACTCAGAGCAGATACGTGTCGATGGTGGGTACATCTATGACGGTGTGTGACTGTTTGCTCCGTACTGTGTGTGTTTGGGTGAGTGTTTCCCACTTTCTCTCCTTTGTGTCCTCCTTTTCTCTCTGGATTCAGTCCACCATGATGCTCATTGGCCTGGAGCTCCTGTGTGCTGGTCCTGCTCAGCACCAGATACCTGATATCTCTGGTTCATTGAATCCTGACTTCTCTGTCGCTGCTGTGGCTTGCTTCATAAATAATCCTCGGCTGTTTAATAAAAGCTCTGCATTCTGACTCAAAGGGAAGCTGCAGACTTTTCCAGTGGGGTTCTGACACCTCTGTGGTCGGAGGCTCTGTAAACAACCTTAGTTTGGAGTTTTCTTCTGAAAGATTGACCAGCTAACGGATAGTTGCAATGGAGCCAGTTCTAAAGTGGAATGATGTCATAATTTAAAAAATGAAACCTAATCTTAAATTGGGGATGAACCTTGTTATCTTTGCTCATATTAATAATAGATCAAATGTAGCATATCACGTAAACCCTCAGGTCTCTCTTTAATTTACTCGTCCTTGGAGGACAAAAATGTCCGCTCGTTAAAGTGGATATGAGAAAAATGTATACATTTATTTTATTTATTTATTGCCTTATTTTTTTTTCTCAATGTATAAAAACGTCAATCATTTTGAGGATTCCAACCCTTCAAACTCCGTCCAGAAACTTTTTCTGCCTGGGGCATTTATTACTAATCGGTCTTGGTCATGTTATGAAATGTCTAAAAAATTAGCATCAATAGTTTTTGTGTAGCAACAGATTTAAACGTTACCATCCTCTTGTAACTACTGAGGACAATAACAGCCCATTGACTTCCATTCAAACCGCAGTTCTTGATCCTGTAACATCTGCAACAAATAATCACGCTTTCTGTGGTATTAGGGTTTCATTTTGGAGAAAAGTAGCCAAATTTATGATTTTTACTGTTCACCACCAGAATCAGTCATTTCTCCATTAGTGGCACAGGCGAGGAAGTGCACACGTTTCTTTAGATCTTCTGCTTTTTGTATTGAAGTCAAAAGGTCAGCCTGACCTCAGACAGGGCTCTTGTAAAGCTTGGGTTATGCTTGACGCGTCCGCGAGGTTCGCCCGGCTCCGCGTGGCAGCATCGCGTCATTTCAACAACCACGCCCCTCCACCGCGCCTCCTCACGGCCCAAACTTTCTGCACCTAGGAAATTTTCTAACCACGCAGACGGCCGGATGCGGAAGAACATGGCGGACCGGTAAGAACTAGTATGGCAGAGGTTCGTAAATACAGACATTTGTATGATTCAGCTCTCAGAGATCACCGTGATCAACATGTTGTTAATAATTCTTGGAGAGAAATAGCTCGCACTGTCGGAAAAGACGAGGACGCTGTTAAAAATGCTGGAATGCCATGTTGTAAACAACAGTAAATTTTACTTCTACTATGGTGTAGTGTTGGATGCATGCCGTAGAGCTCCATGCTGCCCCCTACAGTTTGGGAGAATATTGGCTCACCGCAGAGACGAGCCGCATGAACCATAAACGTTGCAAGTTGTGAAGCGCGTTCCATCCGCGAGCCGCGTCACCAAGCGGAAAGTAAATGCGTCAAACATGAACCAAGCTTAAGCTGGAGCCTGTCTCCACACCGGGAACAATGATAGATCATGACGAAAAGGTTAGCACAAACACCAATGCCCCCCAAAAAACTAAAAACTAAAAAGCTAAATGCAAAGTTTAGGGCAGAACCTGAACCAAAAGATTTAGAGTCTTTTGGACGTCTCTTCTGTAGGGTTTGTCAGAAATCCATCAACCAGACGCGTAAGAGTATACGACATGACTGCTTGGTCAGAATGAGCAGCAGCAAGCTAGCATTAGCGGCGCCTGCTAACTCTAGAATTTGAGCGTAAGTAATACCAGCGTGAGCGGCTGCTGCTAGCTTGCTGCTGCTCTGGTCGAAGCGAGGCTTGAGTTGATTTTGTTGCATCGGATTTTTTTTTTTGCAGAAACTGAGAAGCTTGGTCTGTTTGTGGTGAAGCGCTGCTACAAAACAGAACCACGTCCCCCTGTTACGTTTGTGACGGTTAAACAGTCTTTACATTTTAGCTCTAGTTTATTATTCATTCACTTTATAATTACACACTGTTAGGCTAATAAATGTGGTTAGAACTGAATCAGAAAAGTAACATAAATAATTATGACTGGTTCATGCAAACACTGTTACAAATCTTTATACTACCTTAAATGCAGCAGTACTATTGGATTAGCATGGGATTGCCTTCCTGCCTTTAATCAAGAGTCTTTAGTCCGTGTGGGAGCGTTAATCTGTCCACAACCAGTCCTTCTCGTGTTCAGATACGTTTTCCTTGACCTCAGCTCGACTGTTGTTTCTCTGGAGTCTCGGCTCCTTTCCTCTGGGCTCTTGTACTGAGGTGATCCTGCCAAAAGTCTCCCAGCCAATAGGAATCCAGAGATGAAGCTGACCAATGAGCTTGTCACAGTCTTCCTCTGGGTACGCTTGTTTTTATTACCTACAGGGTGGGGTTGGGCGATATGTTGAGGGTTTCACCTCGATAACGATAAACGGACGATAACTACAGGTATGCGCAGAAGCAAAAGTTGTCCACTAGATGGGGCTGTCGCAGGTATTATGTTGAGTCACATACTCAAGGTGGTACAGCTTCTTAAGGGGACGCGAATGTTGCCAACCTACACACACGTTTTCATGTTTTATTATTACATTTATTGACTTGAGAAAATTTTTCACGATAAGAGTCAGAAAATTCGATAATGATAGATTCTTGATTTATTGCCCAGCCCTACTTCTGGGTTTACTCACCCACCCATTGATGTGTGGTTTTTGGGCGAGTAGGGTACTGACGCACCCCGAGGTAGGCTAACGATCGCGTTGGTGAAGGAAAACATCCGAACACAAGAAGGAACCTTTAGTGAGAACAGAGTTTAGAGCGAGCAGAACAAGATCTGAGTATGAAAACAACAATCAATGTCCTGGAACGGACAGAAAACGCTCCTGATTACAGGCAGGTTTTACCCCAGTACAATAAAACCTGTGTTCGTGTGAAGGCTTCCAGAAGAACAACAATAATCTACTGGCCCCACTGATCAGAGCAAATCTTTGTTTCTCCATACTGAGGTTGTTCAGACAGCCAGCTGGTCAGTTTGCGTAACCTCACTTGAAAGCTGTGAACCTCCCTTTAATCCAGACAGGAGCACGCTCCTCTGGCTGCTGCTGTGGTCTTGTATAAAGTGTACTGGTTGTGCTGGTTCCTGCAGACGAGGACAGCATCAGCGACTGGTCCACGGACAGCTGCGGGTGGAGCGATGACGACCTGGAGGTGGATTTAGACGTCACCACGCCGCCTCTGAGCGTAGATTCTGGAGCCCTGGACTCCAGCGACCAGGAGATCGTGCGATGCATCTGTGAGGTGGAAGAAGACAATGACTTCATGATTCAGGTGACCTGGTGGTGTTTGTCTCTGGAGACTCGTGTAAGACATGAACCCATGGTTCTACCTCACATCTGTCCTCTGTTCAGTGTGAAGAGTGTCTCTGCTGGCAGCACGGCACCTGCATGGGCCTGCTGGAGGACAACGTCCCAGAGAGGTACACCTGCTACATCTGCAGAGATCCACCAGGTGAGTTTGATTGTCCACTAACGTCATCAGGCTTGTTTTTGATCAGCGTCATATTCATGTTGATTCTGTTAGGTCAGATTTATCAGGCGGACTAATAAAAGGCTCCCATCAGTCATAAAAGCTAGGATTTGCTGTTCAACAGTGTCGTGACGTGCTGCTCCTCCCGATTCCCATCTTCTTTCTTCCTCTCAGGTCAGAGGCAGAGTCTGCGATACTGGTACGACCGGGACTGGCTGACCAGTGGACACATGTACGGCCTCTCCATCCTGGAGAACTACTCTCACCAAAACGCCAAGAAGATCACCACCACCCACCAGCTGCTGGGAGACGTGCACCATGTGGTGGAGAACCTCAACGGCCTGCAGCTGAAGATGAGCATCTTACAGTGAGTACCTGGAGACAGGGGACGGGTCTCCTCTGCTGAGCTTCTCTGGTTCATCATCCTGTCCCTGGTCTCCTCAGGAGCAGCAGCCACCCAGACCTGCAGCTCTGGGGCCAGCCCTGGAAGCATCTGCAGAGGCCGCGGCTCGGCTCGGACTCGCGTCAAGGCAGCAACACGGCTCCGTCTCCCGTTACTCCCGATGAGGACTTGAGCCGAGGAGAGATTTTAATGTCCAATGCCCTGGAGAAGCTGAGCCGGGCTGCCGCAGCCGCCACCTCCTCCTCCTCCTCCAGCGCCTCCTCTCCGTTCCCATCCTTCCGGGACTCGTACATAATCAGCGAACACTGTTATCAGAAGCCCTGGGCCTATTACCCCGCTGTAGAGCAGCGGCTGGTGGTGGAGACCCGACAGGGATCCGAGCTGGAAGACAGCATGAGGAGCACGGAGGAGCTGCTGGAACGGGAGCAGCGCTACGGGAGCCTGCTGGAGGTGGACAAGCCTAAAGCAACGAGCAACAAGGTAGAGTTGATGACTGTAGTGAAGGATTCAGGCCCAGCCTGTGACCTTCATGAGGTTCTGTAGCTGACAGCCACTTGGGGAGTAGGGTCAGCCATGCTGAGAGCTGGAAGGCTGGAGGTCATCCAGGGGTCTTACTCAGCTTTGTTTAGCCGTCCCTGGATCAGCTCTCCTCTCTATGAGTCACCAAGCATTTAGACATCATCCGTTTCTGTTTCAGGCCTTGATGGGTGTCTCCTGGTCGCCTGCTGAGGACAAGGAGGACAGTTGTCAAGACACTGGAGACAACAGGAAGTACCAGCAGTGGCAGATGAACTTACTGGATCACATAGATGCTGTCCAGGACGAGGTCTCACACAGGATGGACTTTATTGAGAGGGAGTTGGATGGTGAGAGAACGACGCACCTTTCCAGACCGCCTGGTGTGCAAACACAACCTCACTTCTGACTTTCTGCTGTGTTTCAGTGTTGGAGAGCTGGCTGGACTACACCGGGGAGCTGGAGCCTCCTGAACCTCTGGCTCGTCTCCCTCAGCTCAAACACCGCATCAAACGACTGCTGTCCCAGCTCAGCAAGGTCCAGCAGATCGCTCTGTTCAGCTCCACGTGAGGGTGCCAGAGAGCAGCTGCAGCCTCAGGCCCCAGCAGCCGCTGTACCAGAGCAGCAGGAGGGATCACTGATGCAAGAGACGCTAATCCTGTGTGGCGGTGGGGGGTGCGGTACTGCAGCCTGTCTGTGTCATATCTGGATATTTAAATGAGGAGAGTGAGCCTCTTGAATCAGGATGAAACAAAACAGAACCTCTGAAAGCAGGAGAAACCCTTCGGACCCGGTTACACTCAATGTGGCGCCCAAACCTAATGAATGCCTTCTTCTGAACTACTGCTTAATGTTGCCCTGTCTTTCTCAGTGCACAGTGCTCTAGCTCCACAAGCTTTATTTTCACACCTGAACCAACACTGCAGTAATTTTTGAACACATTATTTTCTGTTATTTGTGTCTCAAACTCACCTTTTTGCTCCTCTTTCCTGCCATACTGTGTTACAGGCCCTGCTGTTGATTTAGAGAATTGGTAACTTGAATACATTCACTCTGTTCTCTCACCATTCAGGCCGTCTTTAATGTTCCCAGTTAAACTGTGAAGTTTGCTTTTCTTAAGATTCAAGTCCTTTTTTACCATTTATTTGCTCATCAAATCATTTTCGGTTTTTCTCCCTCTTTATTTGGACTTTGTCGCTGTTGCATCTAATGCATCGTTTGTTGAGTTCTGTGTTGTTAACCTAGCATTCTGTCTGTACATTTCCTAGAAAACCTAAGCATCTGTTCTTTTTTTACTCTTGTTTCATCAGTTTATTTAACTGTTGATTATAAAGTTGTCATTCAAAGCTGTTTTGAATTGGCACGGTTCCAACCACAGTTAATGTATGCCACTGTACTGTAAGTGTGTCCTAGAAGCGGGGAACATGTCAAACAATACAAACAGATTTCCTGGTACATTAATAAACTATTAATAATCTGTATGAGCAGGTTTACTGGTGTGTCTGTGTGTGTGTGTGTGTGTGTGTGTGTGTGTGTGTGTGTGTGTGTGTGTGTGTGTGTGTGTGTGTGTGTGTGTGTGTGTGTGTGTGTGTGTGTGTGTGTGTGTGTGTGTGTGTGTGTGTGTGTGTGTGTGTGTGTGTGTGTGTGTGTGTGTGTGTGTGTGTGTGTGTGTGTGTGTGTGTGTGTGTGTGTGTGTGTGTGTGTGTGTACCATTAGGTTTTGTAAGGTGCACTAGTCTGGCAGATAAAACAAAGTGATATTAAGGTTGATGAAATTTTTCAGAGGCTAATTGGATGCTGTAATCACACTTAGGTGTGTAAAAAACCTATAATGTTAATTATGAGCAGAACATGTCAGAGAAATTGATAAAATGTGGAAAAACTTTTCACTGCAGACATTTATGTCACGTTATCTCTTTCGAATTAATAAGCTTCTAGCACACAGGTGGCCAATTCCTACAGAAAATATATCTCACTAAAATGACGTTCAGGGTTAAATAGCCCGCTGTCTGTAAATGTTTCTTCTACCTTCATTTGTTATTTTCAAATGTAGGTGTTACATTTAACTTATCTTCAATTTTGCCTTCAACCCATATGAATTTTTTAAATTTATCTGATTAAATATGCTTATCAAATTAAATCAGCTGTTTGCAATCAAACATTTACTCTACAAACATTTAGCTTTTTTACAAGATGGTTTCTATTTGTGTTTTATGTGATTGTTTGATTAGAAACTACAAACATAAGCTGGTAAATGTTTCTAATTAACATAGATTTGTTTTATAATTTAATTAATTTATTAATTAAAATTACTACTACTACTACTAAAGCTGCCCAGGTGTTGTTGTTGTTGTTGTGTTAATAATTGAGAAAGTTAATGAAAATAAAGTAAAAAAAAAAATAAATTAATTAAAGTAAATTCCACTACTACTTACATTAAAGAAGTAAAGAAGTTTAATTAAATTGACTAGTTGATTAATTAATAATAAAAAATGGTAAATTAATTAATTATATCCACAATATTTTCTTTAGTGTTCTTTACTTTTTTAGTAAAGTAAGTAAGTAGTAGTGGTAGTAGTAGTGGTGGTGGTAGAAGTAGTTGTAGTACTAGATCTAGTAGTAGAAGTAGTAGTAGTGCAGAACTGTTGGGGGCGGAGCTTAAGTGTCCTTTGATCTGATGACATCGTAAAGAGTTCATCAGCTTCATCAACAACACAGACAATCTCGTCAGAAGAGAAGTTACCTTTGTCGAAGACACATCGTTTTTGTCATTTTTAACAGCGTTTCGTACAACAGAATGATTACGAAAGTGCGTCGCCTCAGTACAAAAAACGGTCACACGTTTCAAAAACCAGCCATCGAGCAACTCAAAGAAAATAATTATTTTATCCACTCAGCTATTTGGTCATTAATTCACCGGATTTTTCAAAACGTCAAAGCCATCAATATAAAGAATAAACTTTCAGAAGGGGACAGGGGTTTCATCGATCGTCTAGTGTATAATATCCTGTGTAAACTTGGCGTAATAATAAACCTTCCTAATAACCCAAAGTCGACCGAAAGATTAGCTAATGTAGCAGTACGAAATACCTGCTCCAAGTTTATTGGTTTAGAACAGTACGCCCTCCATACGTAGGAGGGCGCTCCGGCTATAAAAGGGGAGCTCCTCCGGCAAGGAAGTCATTTCAGGAAACAGCTGGTTTTAAGTATATCACTACGTGTTACCAGCCCGTGTCCTTTGGCTGCGTTTTTTTTTTGGGTGATCGGCTCTGCTCCAACTGTGGTATGTACCTGGATGGCTACTCTGTTTAGCAGTAGAGTTACTGTGTCTCAAACCGTGTTGTGCACTCTGCAGCTTGGGCAATTAATCAGTGTTGGGTGTGACATCATCGCTTGCCTTTGCTATACAAAACATTAGCAAACGGTACGTACCTTCTGCAGGTAGATAACCTATGAGTCAAACAATCTTAACATCAGCTCTTTGTAAAACCAGGGAAAGATTGAATCCCCGTTGCTGCTGGGCAGGGAGTTCCCTTCTACTCAGGGGTCATCGGTGAGAGGACCGGTAGGTGTGTGCTGCGCCGTCTCCACACTTGGTCAGTTGTTAGTTTGTTAACTTCTACCTCTTCCTTGTCCTTTTAGATTTATCCGTGGTCCAGTGGGAGGCGCCGCTGTTTTGTTTCGTTTCCTTTTTCTACATTTCAAATCAGCTGTTTGAAGGATGTTCCCTGGCTCGTGGCCGGAGTTCAGAAGGAAGAACAGCTGATTTATATTGTACCCATTTTATACCGTTTTTAATCTTTTTTTTGTTTCTTTGTGCAGGCTGGGGCAGGAGGTGTGGGGTGTGGCCTCGGAGGTGGTGGTCCCGTGTGCGTGTGGTGGTGCTGGTTTCCTCACGTTGATATGAATGATCACTGCCAGGGGTGAATTCTTTATACGTTCTTCATTATTTTTCTTGTGTTGGGGCTTCTCTGCCCGCGTTACCTGCCTCCATCACTAGCCTCAGTCCTGCTTGTTAACCTCTTTATTTATTTAAATTTGTAGTTGAATTGTGTTTAGTTAATTCCCATTTTGTTTTGGGACCTCATGAATTGATTTCAGTGAGTAAAATTAATTTGGTTCTCCATACATTTCATTGGTTCAGTTCCTGTTGGGGCATTAATTTTAGTATTTTATGGTATTTTACATGGCCAGTTTTTAAAGTGTCTTTTAAATTGTCTCTTCTATAAAATAAAACACACTTATTGTAACTTCTGAAACCACGTCTACTGTCCAGTGAACTGAATCTATATGTTTAATTCCTTGGGTGAAATTCCCAAGGTGGCGTTGTTAATAAAATCACACTCGAGCAGGTACAATTGCCATCCTTGGCGTCAACAGGTCATAGACCACTCTCGTATTGCCACATTTGGCGTTGTTGGCAGGATTCACGAGAGATAGACGTGTGTTTTTCAGAATTTTTTTTTTTTGTTTGTTTTTTTGTATCTGTATTAATTTTGTCCTTCATTTACAGGTTGCGAAACGAAACAGCGGTGCTTTCCTGAAAAACGGCATAGGAGTTTGTTTTTATTATTTTTTTTAGTGGGCAAGGTAAGAGGTTATCATGGAGGAGGAAGAGCTGCGGCAGTTGAAGAATGTAATTCTACAACTGAAAGCAGAAAACGAGAGGTTAAAACAAGAGCAAATGGCGATTTATGGTCCTAGTGGCCACTCTTCTGCAGCTTCACCTTCTACTTCTGTGCTACAGAGGGAAAGATTGGTTGTGGTCCCCCGAGAAAGAAAATGTCCTTCCTTTAGGGGGCGGACAGGGATTAGTTTGGCTGAGTGGCTGGAGGAGGTTGAGGCTTGCACGCGGTCTCGGCAGCTCACTGATTTGGAACAGGCTTTGTTCCTGTTCGATCATCTGGAGGGAGAAGCCAGGGAAGAAATTAGGTTTCGCCCTAGAGGGGAGAGGGAGGATCCTGCCCGGGTGATTGCAGCGTTAAGGGAGCTTTATGGCTGTGTTGACTCATATGTAGCCCTGCAGAAAGCGTTCTTTTCTCGGCACCAGCAGGAGGGGGAAACCTTGCAAGAGTTTTCCCTCGCCCTGATGAGTTTAATGGCTGCTGTTAAACAGCAAGCCCCCACTGACATGCCCAATGCTGAAGAGTTGCTTCGCGACCAGTTTGTAGAGCACGTAAGTGACGGTGCCTTGCGCCGTGAGTTGAAACAGTTTGTGCGTCGCAATTTAACAGCTACCCTGTTGGAGGTTAGAGCCGAAGCCATTAGGTGGGAACGGGAGGGTTCCTCGGGAGGAGCTAGAGGCCGAAGTTATTCTGTCCCTTCAGTTTTTGGGTTGCAGTATGGGGTCCAATGTCCCCAGACCACAGCAGCCTCCCCCATGCGGTCGGAGTTGACTGAAATGAGGGAAATGTTGAAGCTACAGCAGGAACAGTTAAATAAACTTACGGAGGGTCTCTTAGCGCTCCAAGGTCCGAGGTGGAGTAATCCTGCTGGTCGTAGCCCCCTAATTTGCAGACGTTGTCGACAGCCAGGCCATTTCGCTAAAGACTGTGATGGGGTCCGGGTTCCTTCTCAGTCCACGGCACACTCTCAGCAGTCTGGGAGGCACGGTGGACGGGTGGCACCGTCGGAAAACTAACACCCGCCGAGCTGTGGAGCCAAAGTTCGGGGGGTGCCAAGCCTGGCTCAGATGGAGAGTCTACTGCCGTGGAAGTGGCGAAATTGATGTCGTCTTGTCCGTACGTGGATGTAACAATGGGGGGAGTGCAGGTTCCGTGCTTGTTGGACACGGGGTCAATGGTGTCAACTATTTCGGAAAGTTTTTTTTACCAGCACTTCGAACCCTGGGGTGCAGACAAACTGCAATCTTGCCACTGGTTGCGGCTTAAGGCTGCCAACGGGTTGGCCATCCCATACATTGGTTATTTAGAACTGGAGGTTGAACTTTGTGGTAAAGTGTTGACTCAGTGTGGTGTCCTGGTGGTCAAAGACACCCCTGAAGGTGGACTCTTGTCGCGTCCGGGTGTTCTGGGGATGAATGTGATTAGCAGGTGTTACAGGGATCTGTTTGGGGAACACGGGCGGACCCTATTTGAACAGTCACCATTGTCACAAGCCCCAGAGCCAGTGAGGTTAGCGCTGCAGAAGTGCCACCAAGCCAGTAGGAGGGTTGCTGGGGGAGTGCCTGGTACCATCAAGGTCGGGGGTCGTCAGGCGTGCCAAATTCCGGCTGGCACAATGAAAGTGGTGGCTACTACCTGTGCCGATCGGTTCTCAGGTAAGAGCGTACTGTTCGAACCACCAGTGTTTGGCCTCCCTGCTGGCCTACTTTCCTCGCCAGCCTTGGTACGGGTGGAGAGAGGGGTCACCCATATTATGGTTATTAATGTGGGGAGTACGGGTGTCTTTCTCTACCCTCGGACCAGGGTGGGTACAGTGGTGGAAGTGGGAGTTTCAAGCTTCCCACGCGGCATCA